TATATATATGAAATCGTGCATTTCACTTTTACAAAATAATTTATTGTGATGTTTTTGGTGTGTTGTTAGAAAATTGAATGTTGCAGATGTAAATATGAAAGCTTAGGTATTAGATCTGTAGATATGCATCTTCTTCTGTGTTGTGGCAGGATTTGACAAGGGGAAAAAGATGTCCTTTGGTTGATGAATTGGCCATTTTACAAGATTGTAGCTCTTTGTGATGGGGCCCCATGCTTTTTTCATCCCTATTTTCCATTGCAAGGAATTTAGGGGTGTAAACGAACCGAACTCGAACGTTGATTCGTTTGAAATTTAGTTTGTTTGAAATAAGCTCGTGTTCGAAATTGTTCGTGAAGTCACTGTTTGTGTTCGTCTCTTAACAAACGAGCCGAACACGAGCTGTTCGCGAACGACGAGCTAGCTTGACATCCCTAATATTAATATAAATAAATAATATATTACATTAATTATATAACTTATATTATATAAATATATAATATGTATATTACTAATATAGTATATTAATATATTATTATTAATTTATTATATATTATAATTTATAAAATTTAATTTTTAAAATATCAAAGATTTTTTATATATAATTATTTTAAAATATTTCATATTACGAACAATAACGATTCGAACACGAACGAACGTATCACTGTTCGTGTTTGGTTCGTTTAACTAACCTAACAAAAAAAAAATTATTCATGTTCGTCTCGTTTACTTATCGAACGAATCGAACACGAATTCATTGACGAATCGAACACGAACTGTTCACAAACAATGAGCTTTTTTGACTGCCTTAACAAAGATATCTTTTATGCTCATATTAGAATGATTTACATACATGTGTCGGCACTATTTTTGGTGTGGGGTTTGCCCGTAAGAAGCTGTCGGTCATCGGAATTGAAATCCCGTTACCTGCTTCGGAAGGATGTTTTTTTTTTTAAAATTTAGTTTTGAAAAAGATGAAGTCAAACTGACCTCATAATTTTCATAGTTTAGATGAAAGAGCGCTTTATCTCA